TCTTTAAGAGGAGTTTGACCATGAAGCCATGTTGAGACTGCAACCAAGATGGGACATTTTCTAGCCCTAATAACAGGATCTGCTTCAATCTCAACAGTTACAGTTAAAAAATGGGTAGTAAACTGATGAGCAGATTCTCAGATGGTGTTCATCAGGGACTTCAATAGAGCTATGCTAACTGACACCATTTAAGGACTTAACTCAATCAAAATAAATGCATTTATGGGTCTCCAGGAAGTTATTGTACCTCTACCTTTTCAGTAGTCAATTCTGTAGCATACTCTATAGGATTTAGCAATTGATTTTTGTCACTAAATTTTACATGATAAATTTACTTACATTTTCATAATCCTTCATGGTCCGAGCTCTGGTTGGTGAAACTATATCTTCCGCCACATCCAGAAACACTAGACAACGGACAAGACAAATCAGATCCAAACCAGCATTCCCTCTAAGTTGCACAGTGGCAGCAGCTTCACAGATGATTAATCAGCCTCACACAATCGGTCAGCTCCTACAGGGAGCCCTGAGCCTGACTGGGCAGGGCTGACTAATCACCTGGGAAGCTGTGCTACAGCGCAGCTTAGGAGGAACCAAACATCCAAATATCAGAGGATCCAAAATTACAATGTTATTAGGGGAAAAAGGTTATTTTAACCATCTGAATGCATTAAAAGCATCAAACAAGTGTATTTTCATGTGCCCTTTTTAAATTATGGACTGAGTTATGACAAAAACAAGGCAGGTGCTCATAGCTGCGCAGCGCTGTGCCCCTCAAGATCAAGGCTTGCATCCATAGCAGAGGTAGCAAAGAAATATTAGCTACTTCTCTATGTATATGATTACAAATAATCAAAGTGTTTCTCTCTCGTGTTCATTCTACAATAGCCAAAATTTAATAAGGAACACAAATGTGGTATTAAGACAGCTATGAACATTCGCAAACTTTAAAAAGGGAAGGGCGGGGGGGAAGAGATTCTATACAGGAGGCTTAAAAATTGCAGATTATATACAAAATGTGACATCATATATCTACATATCCATATATGGAAAAGCTAGAATTGAAGGATTAAGGGAAAAAAGTTTGAAGTACCAAGTTCCCACTGTTTAAAGAAATTATTGAAGTAAATATTTCCAAAGTTATCAAGTAATTCCATACACACTACAGAGCCTTTCAATATTCCCAGGAATGACAACCAGAAGTCTTCAAATGTTGAAGA